TTTTAAACATAGTTTTACTTTATTTCTAGTAAAAACCATCTGTTAGAACTCAACACTCAATTTTACATAATATTTCACAATTTTATTCATTAGAAAACACGATTTCAAAACGTGTATGTTACATTTAATCACTTAATCCAACATTATCAATCATCTGAAAGGGTCTAAAATCTATTCCTTTGAAGCCCAAGACCTTCACTTGATCAAATTCTAGCCCGATGTCCTAGAATTAGAACATCACTAAAACTAGGTGTTACATTTTGAGTTACTATTTATTTTTCTCTCTTGGAAAACATTATTTTCATAAAATAATAATTTCTCGGTTAAATACAAGAGTTGATAATATTTATTAGTAATCAAATTCTAATAAATAATCAATAAGTGTCTACTTGTTATAATGTGTGATCCTATAGGGTCATACGTTATTAGCAAATATAATTTTTTTAATGATTCTTGATCATATAGATCTTTCATGTATATGCAATACATATAATATAGTGATCAAGTGAATCAATCAAGTTTATTGAGTATCTTTTGTTTATATAACTAGGCCATTGCTATCATATTGATTTGTCTTATGAATTGTTATGTATGCTCTTTTCTCATTACCCACTAAGCTTTGGTAGCTTCCCTTTGTTGTTGTGACTTATAATTACATGTGATAGGACTAGTGGCAAGGGTAAGGAGATACTTTGAATTGAGATGTAGAAAGATTTAGAAGACTATTACTTTTGTTTTTGATGTTATAATGAAATAACACATGTTGAAATTTTGTACGGTTACTTGGGTGTTATTTGTTTTTTGTAAAAAAAAAAAAAAAAAAAAAAAACTTTTCAGACCTCTTATTGCTCCGCGGCGCAACACACTCACAACACTATTTATCTCGCATTTGTTTGTTTTTTAGAAGTCTTCGGAGTAAAAAACATTTATGCGTGTTCTGTTTGGGGCAGCACTTAGATTGCCTCTTCCAACCTCTTCTTCTTTTTTTCTTGCTGAAATCTTGATTATATATTGCTGAATTCTTGTTTCACATTCTTTTTGTTTGTTTGTTTGTTTGTTTTTTATTCTTGTCGAATTATTTTTTTCGTTTTTTATATTGAATAATGATAATTTGTTATTGAAATATCAATATTTTTGCTAAAGTATATATATTTTTTGTTGAAATATCATACTGAAATGTCACATTATTAAATTTTCGGTTTTAAAAAGTTATTTTCGATGTATAAAATCAGTTTAATTTAATTTTTTAATATTTGCAACAACATGCAATATTAAAAAACAAATACGCTTCTTATTACAATCTACAGTCGTTTGGTTTATCTCTTCTGTTTCAGAGGGTTTGCAGAGATGGTCCACAGACTTTATAAATTTTTTCTTCAAAAATATAAATGACACCGTACTTCAACTATGGTATGTGGATACAACCCGTATCTATGTGGTAGTATAATATGCACCATATGAATGTACTAAATGGTTTTCAAATTGAAAAAAAAAAAATATAGATGTGCTTTATACTAGAAGTAGGGTGTTACATAACCAAAAATAACTATGTAACCGTTAGATGTGAGCATCAAAATCGAATATCCACATTCGAACTTTAATTTGTCAGGAAGTGATAATTCCATAACCTAAACCAAAATGATGTAACGGGGACCATATTCGGTTTCTAACATTTGGAATCAACAAAAACCGATTCAATTCTAGTTCTTAATTTTTTGCTACCGCCAAGCGTTGGGTACGTGTCAGGGCCGGTTATCACATGTAATATTAAACATATAGATTATCACAAGCACCAAATATATGTCTTTTAAATGGACCTCTATCCTCAAATCAAAATTTCATAATACCAGGCAGTGATTAACCACATTGGCAATATTCTAATAACTACAAGATGGCTAATAAGATTATGAACATAGGCCTACAAATTAATTAATGGAGACCATAGTACTGTTTATCAGTGAAATAAATGGAATAGGTGTAAGGGAATTTATTATTTTTACCAATATGAAAGGAAGCTATAATAAATACAAGATGCTCCTAAATTTACAAAATTTACTAAGATCCATTTCGTAACTATGATGTGGTCATTAATAGAGAAAAATAAAGTTCCTTCGTACCCTTATGGTACATTGTGTAAGTGTAACCTTAAATATTATTCGGTTTCGGGAAATTAACAGAAAAGGTTTGATTATTTGATTTTACACGATACTTCCAGTTAAAAGATAAAAAATGATTTTTTTGTTAATTTGAACTAAAATGAAATAATCAGAACTTTTATGTTCAAAAAAAAATATAAGACTAAAGTGATTTTTTTCCGAAAATATTGAGTCTTTTTCTAATAATTTCTCTTTGGTTTCAACCATAAATCCATATGCACTTTTTTAAATTGAGCAAGAATAAATTGATAGTTAACAATAAAGTCTATGTTAACGTATTTTGTATTTTAAAAAAAATAAAAAAAAAAAAAAAATCGGAACTAGAAGCGTTTCCAAAATTTTGGGAATTGTTGTGATCGGTTTTGGTCCAATATTTAAGGAACCGCTCGTTTCGATTCCTTATAATTTAGTTGGATACCCACCTATGTTTGCCGATAGTAGCCATTGGTAGAGAATTAACATGAAATCCTACTCATATTTTTAGTAGATGTACTAAGAGTATCTTCAATGGTTAACCTGTATTATGACTTAATAATATTGTTACCTTATTATTCCATTACTTTTAACCTCTAATTAAATGAAATTTTCAATGGTTAACCTCTTTCAATAATTTTTTTCTTCAAATTTAAATAATCTATCCATATCTATTTAAAATGTTCTATATAATCCCCCTAGTTAATTAGTCATTATTAAACATATCATATTTTAATAGAAATTATTCTAATAAATATTGTCCTTGTAAATTAATATTTCATAAATAAGATGTCATTAAATAATTGATAGATTTAATTAACTAATTAATTAATTAATTAATTAAAAACTGAAATATAATTACTGGGTAAAATAAAATATGATTACAAAATGAGGGGGTTAAATGTACAAATAATTAAACTATATTAACTACTCGGTAGATATTGAATGATCAACAAAAATGAAAAAAAAAAAAGTTAAATGTTCCGATAACAATAAATGCTCAATATAAATAAGTTAGTAGCAATAAGCTCTACAAAATGTTCTCATTGGAGATAACTCTAAGTTATAGGGACCATGATAAGGTTAAAAATCATCATTATTGGATCATAATGTATACATTGATTTTTATAAAACCCAACAAGCATCGAATGCAATTAACAAAAATATTATGACTGACTTTTCTGATTCATTAATTAAAATCTATCAGACCTACAAAAGGGTTATTGGAATAACTTTTTAAGTGTCAAGAAGATTGTATGATCCAAACAATAGCCCATCCGACAATATTACACCCCTTAGCAAGCAAATATACAAGACGTCTATTCTCTTAAGCCGTGGTGGTTTTTAAGGCTTCAAGAACGAGTACAGAAAGCCTAGAAATAATATTAGTTTAAATCCTTCAAAGTTTGTTCATTTAGATTGGTGGGTGTGGGCACCGGCGTTTTGATAAAAAGAAGAAAATAGCTTTAATGGAAAGTGGTGGTGGTAACGGGAAGCAACGCACAAACCTTTAACACCTAATAACATTGAAGGGGAGCGGTGTTTATGGATGTTATTAAGCTTTATTAGCCCCAATAACGACCCACTCCTAGTAGTCTTAACTCAAACAACATTATATAATCATTTGGTATTATTTTTTTTTTTATTTATCTCACTTAATTAATTTCTTATTATTTATTGCCACTTTAATAATTAATAAATTAATTTCTCTTAATTAAATATTTTTGTCACCCAATCTTGAGCTGAATGTGTAACTCCACTCATAGAGACCCATGTAATTAACTGTTTCACCAACATATTATGTAGTAGACATATCTCCAACGACCACTTACAGAAGTTTTTTAACGACTCATTTAGAGCCTTAACACTTCAGCTATAATTTCCATGTATCAACAAAACCAAAGACAAACGAAGTCGAATCTTATGATTTGTTTTGAAACTTCTATGAAACTTGACCAAAGTGATATAAACATCGAAACACGTGGTTTTATATTATCAACAAGTCGGTATGTTTTCGTAAGGAATTTAGTAAGTACGAAATATAATCCGATAGCTCAAAAAAAATGTTCTTATTTGCCTATATTTCCAATAATCATTTGTTCATTTTATCCTAAATCCCTATAAAAATATAAACTATATTAAATAGTTATGAATTTTAATTTTAATAAAAATATATATAAGAATGTCTATGGATGCCTATGGAATGTATAGCCCGTTAAAACCGGTTTTTGATTCCGTCCCGTCCATTTCACATTCAATCCAAAACCCTCGATCCTCGGCGTGTGTATTAATGGAGTATGGACCCGACTTTAAGTTCTTCAACCCCACCTTTCTTCCGATTTGTGTAGCAGGGAAACGTGCGTCTCAACCCTCACCCAACTACTCCTGTGTCTTTCGTTAATCACTAGTTTGCTTTCTACTTTCTAGTTTCTACAACACTCAACCCATCGCCCATTTCCCCCTTTTTTAACCCTTCCGCAATCGCCACTATTTGCCTTCCACTTTTGAGCTGTTTTATTCAATTATTACTAATCATAATTCATCCCCTTCGATTATTTATTCTTCTCTATTCAATCTTACCTGTAATTTCTTAATTATTAGTACCTTTTTTCCATTCTGGGTCTGGTCCATGGATGATGAAACTGTTTGCTTTTCAATTTTCATTCTAGTTTTCCGTTGTTGTCATATTTACTAACACCCATTATAGCGCCTAAAAAGCATTGACTTCCTTGTACGATAGTCACTTTCGGTTCTAGTTTTGGTTTCCTTTCGGGTATTGGGGACCGATTTAAGGATTTCTTGTATTCTATCACGAATCAGGGATCTGGGTTTTCATTGATGTGATGTGAATCGAATTTGTGTACAGAAAAAATGGCTAATCTGGTCCCTGGGGTTTTGTTGAAGCTGCTTCAACACATGAACACAGATGTAAAAGTTGCGGGAGAACACAGATCGTCTTTATTGCAAGTTGTGAGCATCGTTCCAGCTTTAGCCGGAGGCGAGCTCTTTCAAAATCAAGGGTTTTATCTCAAGGTATCTGATTCATCTCACGCCACATATGTATCATTACCCGATGAAAATATCGATCTTATTTTAAGCGATAAGATCCAGTTAGGTCAGTATGTACACGTCGAGCGCCTCGAATCAGCCACCCCAGTTCCAATTTTACATGGCGTCCGACCAGTTCCCGGCCGACACCCATGTGTCGGAACCCCAGAAGACATTGTTGCCACTCATTCTTTAGGGTTCTTGAATAACAATGGCAGTTCCACTAGTAACACGACTACTTCTAAACTACTTGGTAATGTCAAATTGCCCTCCAAAAAGGATACAAACCCCACAACTGTGAGCGCGAGATCAAATGGGGCGATCGAAAGTAAGAAAACTTCATCAACTTCATCAACTTTAGCAAGATCTAAATCCCAATTGTCAAAATTGGTATTGAATGTAGAATCGAGGCAATCTTTGGCAAAAGTCAAACCATCAAGGTCAATTCCTTCATCTCCCACTAGTTGTTACTCTTTGCCTACTTCGTTTGAGAAGTTCTCCAATGGGGTCAAGAATCAGTCAAAGATCAAAGGATCTGATAAGGAAATTGGTAAATTGAATTTAGGGGAAAAAGGGAGTGGGGTTCGTGGGGTGAGTTCAAGTGTGAAAAAATCTGGAATTGGAAATTCGATAAAGAATTTTGTTCAGGGTATTGAATTGGGGCCTAAGGCTTTGAGGAAGAGTTGGGAAGGTAATATGGATGTCAAGACTCCAAGATTGAAAGTCACCAAGAATGATTTGAAGCTTGAAGCTAGGAGTACTTCTGTAAGTTATTCATATACTTTGATTTTTATTGCCTAAGATTGAAAATTTCTTCAAATACCCAATTAATTTAAGACTACAAACTTGCAATTGTGTTTAAATGAGAGTTGTTTCCAAGAGTATTGTGATTCCTTAGTTCTTTCTAATTAGACTTTATATTATTTTGAATAGTTCTTTTAGTTGCTCTTTTGTGTTTAAATTAGAATCATTTATGTTCTTTCTAATTCGTATTTTAGGCATATCATGGGTTTGCATTTGTCAATTTCTTTGAGCATTAGGAAATTTGTTGATTGCTTATGAGATATCTAGAACAGGTTACAATTCATTTCCAATTTGGTCACCAAACTTTATTAATCATTAATAATTCATTCCATAAAACTTTTGGAAAATGTTATAAAACCATTCAACCACATTAATATTTTACAGATTTCGGTTCAAAATTACCCAAAATAGCTAATTTTGAAAAGCTAGTTTTAGTAACGAGTCCAGTGACCAAATTACAAATGAAGTAAAATTACATTTCTATTTATTGCAATCTTTAGAAGGAAAATATACAGAAAAACACTTGTATTTTCACCATTTTATTTATTTAGTCACTTAACTATTTTCTTTAGTGATTAAGCCATTATGCCTTTCTAACCATTTAGAAAAAAATATATAAAAGCACAACATACATTTACCATTTCATCTATTTAGCCACTGAACTATTTGTATTATAATAATCATAAAAGAATAATAGTTTAGTGGCTAAATTGACAAGAAGGTGAAAGTAATTATGCTTTTCTTGGTTTCTGTATTTCCCCCTTTTTAGAATACTTTTCAATAAAGACAAAATAGTCAAAATCTTGTTTTTTTGTATTTGCCCCTTTTTCAAAATACTTTTCAATAAAGAAATATTATTAAACCTTGTGGACGAAATCAATACCACCAGTTTATTTGTAATCTTTTATTAAACAAATATATAACTTTAACATAGGTTCCAAGAAAATCTACAAGTGAAAGGATTCCATATAAAGAGGAAGATAACAACAACAACAAATCACAATCATTTACAAAGTCATCAAACAAAGAGGAAAACAAGATTCAGACACCTGTAAAGAGATCTATGGCTTATGGAGATTCACTTGATCATGATCATTCAAATAAGCAAAAACCAACTTTAGGTAGAAAGTCAACTGCTGAAGCATCTACAAATGGTCTCCCAGGAAACTTGGTCAAAGTTTCTCTTAGTAACAGAAGGTTGACCGATGCTAGTGCTGCTTCTTGGTCTTCACTCCCATCTTCTCTTTCAAAGCTTGGAAAGGTACATTTTTTTTTCTTCCCATTTTCAATAAAATTCAGATCAATTTCTTTTTCTTGAATTCCTTTAGTTTTTGGTATAAAGGATTAAATGCAAGAATTCGCAATGTGCTTTCATTGTAGGAAGTCTTGAAACATAGGGATGCTGCCCAAATTGCTGCCATTGAAGCAATGCAAGAGGCATCAGCTGCTGAAAGCTTACTTCAATGTATAAGGTACTTCACTAGACCTATTTTCTATAACAAGGGCATTTACGTCTTTTTGCACAAACAATACACTATTCTCAGTGTCATTGTTACTGATACTGATACTAATACTGATACTGATATATTTTGTGTTTGTGTATTAGCACGTACTCTGAACTGCGATGTTCTGCAAAAGAAGACAACCCACAGCCAGCTGTCGAACAGTTTTTAGCATTACACTCAAACTTAAACAATGCCCATCAAATATCCGAATCTTTATCCAAAACAAATCATCTTAATTCATCATTAGATCAAGAAGAAACCCCATCTGAAGAACAATTAAAACTTTCATCAGAAAGACAAAAACAAGCAACTTCATGGGTTCATGCAGCCATGGCAACCAACTTATCATCCTTTTCAGTCTACACCAAACAACCCAAATTAACCACCACCACCAAGACTCTTGCTAAACCTGTTCTTGTACTTGAGAGCTCCACCAATGCACCATCGCCCAAAACCGCCAAGCCCCGTCAGTCGGTCAGCTCAAAGGCTGTGAATCCGGCGACCCCGCGGCGGCAGAACGGTCAAAAGGCTCGGGTGGTGGTGGTGCAACCGCCGCCGCCGCCACCGCCGGAATGGGAGAGAGGCGGTGGGTTTGATGAGGCGGTTGATTTGGCACAGAAGTTGAAAGTGGAGTCTCGTGAGTGGTTTTTAGGGTTTGTTGAAAGATTCTTGGATGCTGACGTGGACACTGCGAGTAGTTTATCGGATAATGGACAGATTGCGGGGATGCTGAGTCAGCTCAAGAGTGTGAATGATTGGTTGGATGCGATTGGATGTGGAAAAGATGAAGAGGAAACGTCTTGTATTTCACCAGAGACTATTGATAGGATAAGGAAGAAGATTTACGATTATCTCCTTACACATGTGGAATCTGCTGCAGCTGCACTTGGTAAACCCTGAGGGCAATTACGTCTTTTGCACAGACTGAGACCGAGTCCCTGTCCTGTGGTTTGTTGTTGACTTGTGAGTAGTAACAACTAACACGGGGTGTAAAAGATGACTGAAATGGTTAAAGATTATATATTTTTTGTATATAAATTACTGAGAAGGTTGTTTGGGGGGTATAGATGGAGTGTTGACAAAATTTGATTATGAAGAAAGGCATTGAATTGGGGGGGATTCTGTGTGTTAAATTTCTTGTTTTGTTTTCGAATGTTCATTGAAAACTACAGAAGAAGATGAACAGATTTAGTAGATTGTCTATGAATTATGATACAAGAGAATGCCCTAAAGATTATAGGGGAAGATGTGTTTGTTTTGATTCTTTTATGATCGAGTAAATTAATTTTTTTTTTTTTAATTATTTTTCTTACAGTTCCTTAAAAGTGAAATCAAAATCTGGTTTGAATATGTACGTTGTTCTAAAAGGCTGTCCATGTGAAAGATCTGCCTAAAGTATATATATATATATATATATATATATATATATATATATATATATATATATATATATATATACACCCCATTTTCAATTATGTGCACGTTCACCCAGTCTTACTTCTCTATCTTATGATTACTCATGGATCTTTATTCTTTCTTACTCTTAAATTCATCATAGATTTCTTATTCTTAATCTTTCATGGGTTATCTTTAAATTCATACAAAGAACTCTCTTATCTTATTCCTCTCCATGAACCTTTCTCTCTCTTTTCTAACCATTCTTACTTCTCTATCTTTTCCTACAGGGATATAATATCATTCTCGAAGGAATCATCCTCTTCTTCCCATTAGAACTATACTTTTGTCCTTGCAGGAACTTGTTCTTATTCCCGAAGAAATATTACTTTTGTCCCCTGTAGGAACAATACTCTTATTCCCGATATTAGATAGATATTATAGTATAGGAGCCAAGATCGGCTCCTATACTATGTTTAGTATATATTCTTATTGTATTACATGTTAATTGCAATCAATCACAGCTAAAATTATGTTTTGGTATCAGAGCCAAGATCGGCTCCTCTAGGTGTACAACCCTAGCCGCCAAAAAAAAAAAAAACCTCTGCACTTTCTTCATCTTTTCTTCATCCTCATCTGATCAACCAACAGTCTGATCATCACCATGACAACCATTGTTGTCTTCTCCACAACTGAGAAAACATCACACAACTCCCACAAGTTTCCGTTTACTCTCTCCTCCACCAACTATGGTTTCTGGAAAATTATGATCCAACCGTTTCTTGTTACCAACAACCTTTTTGGTTATATTGATGGATCGGTTCCTTGTCCTAACACTACCATACCGTCGGCAGAAAAAGCAACCACCGTCGTACCCCAACCAAACCCCTCGTATGCTACCTGGTTAGCCAATGATGCCCATGTACGCATGCTCCTGCTGTCCACCATCTCCGAATTAGCCTACTCCCATGCACAAGGTACAACTGCAAAAGACCTTTGGCTGTCTCTACAACGAGCATATGCCCTTCAGTCGTCTTCTAGAGAATTTACTGAAACATCTCAAAAATACGACCCAAAAATTTTGTTTTTAAATAATAATAATAAAAGTTATAACATTGAATGCCATATAATAAAACCATACGTCGGATATCTCAAAAGCCATAATAAAAGTGTCGTATCAAAAACTGTATCAAATCACATCTAAGTATCTGAAAAAAACTCCCAGGAATAAAACTGAAGCTGTAGTGTGTGCGATGTCATCATCCCGAGCTCTTCCCTTTACATGCGGAAGTACCTTAAATCAAAACTGAAACTGTAAGCACAAAGCTTAGTGAGCTCCCCCAAACTACCACATACCATACAATAACATATAAACACATACTGGGCCTTGCCTACTGCATCGGACCGAAGTCTGGAAACTACATTGGACCGAAGTCGGGAACTAACCAGGGCCTTGCCCTCTGCATCGGACAGAAGTCCGGAAACTGCATCGGACCGAAGTCTGGAACTGACTGGGACCTTGTCCCCTGCATCAGACCGAAGTCCGGAACTAACTGCATCGGACCGAAGTTCGGAAACTGAGCATAACATAGCATGTCATAAACATATCAACTAGCATGAACACATTAACTGCATACTGCATCGGGCTGTAGCCCGGAACACATAACACATAAATCCTATCTGACCCACGAAGGCATCAAACATACTAAAAACTGCATCGGACCGAAATCCGGAAACTACTGCTAGCTAAACGGGCCGGTATTGTGGCCTTAGACTCGTTCCTACTGGAAGGAAACTCACCTCGTAAACTGACTGGTAAACGAACTGCTCGGGAAACTGTCTGCTGCTGCTCCGCTATCTCCCCGGCTACAATTGCCATAACACACTGAATCAAATACTGATAACTATACTGAGGGTAAAATGACTATTTTACCCCTGATCAAAGTCAATCCTACTGGTCAAAGTCAACATACAGTTGACCTGACTCGTCGAGTTGGGTCCCCAACTCGTCGAGTCCTCACCCTCACTTCCTTGCTTCTGCTCGCTACTACTCGTCGAGTTTGGCATAGACTCGACGAGTTCCTCTTCAATGTTATCACTCAGTCAATCTGCATCCGACTCGCCGAGTTGTATGAACAACTCGTCGAGTCCTCCTTCAACGCATGAACACTCTGGCTGTGACTCGCTGAGTTGTATGATCAACTCATCGAGTCTGATCTAGAGGTATGAAGATTGTCTTGTTCTCGCGACTCGACTCGCCGAGTCTGAAGAATGACTCGCCGAGTCGCATGCATGCAATTACTATTCAGACGATTCTGCTCAAAACCAACACATCCAACTGATAGATCTGGGCTCCTAAGGCTTGGTTTGTACATAAAGGTTCCATTTTTACGTGCACATATACTCCTAAAGAGGTTTATAGGCTTAAAATGCATGAATAAGGTTAGATCTAGGGTTTATATGCAACAAGGCTCAATAAAGGTATTAGATCTGGGTTTTGGGATAGAAATATGATTAGATATGAAAGCTATACCGCTACACAAGCTCCTTTACTAGATTAAGCTCATAAATGGGAAAAAAGGTAACCTAAATGAGATTTCTAAAGAGAAGCAACCAAGGAACAAAAAGAGTCCGATTAATACCTCAAATGCCTCTGAAATGGATGAAAGAACTTGATTCCCTTCTTCTCCTTTGGATCTAGCCTTCCTCTTCTCTTCCAATCTTCACTCTTTAAACAAAAATGCCCAAAAACACTCAAGATAGGTTAAGGTGTTACTATGAAACGTTCTGAGGGTGAGGGAGGCCAGATTGGGCGCATAAGGGGGGTTATATAGGGTGCAAAACCCATGGATCTAGGGTTTCTTCCAGACTGGCGGACTCGCCGATTCCAGGATATGGACTCGTCGAGTGCCCACTTTCACGTGCTCGAAATCTCGTCTCTACTCGACGAGTCGGGAAACAGACTCGTCGAGTCCCTCTTGAAAAACTTGGAAAAATAAATATTAAATAACATACCAGAAATGGGACGTTACAACTCTCCCCCACTTGTCTCAGACTTCCTCCTCGAAGTCTGCTGCTGCTGCATCTGCGAACAAATTTGGGTAGTGCTCCCTCATTTCCTCCTCTGCCAACCACGTCCACTCAGATCCCTTCCGGTGTTGCCACTGCACCTTTACCAACTGAACCACCTTGTTCCTCAAGGTTTTCGTCTTCCGATCCATGATTGTTATGGGTCTCTCAATATAATTCAGGCTGCTATCAACCTGAATGTCCTCCAAGGGTACTACTGCTGTATCATCCACCAAGCACTTCCTCAGCTGAGAAACATGGAAAGTGTTGTGGATCTGACTGAGCTCTGCCGGAAGATCCAACCGATAAGCAACCCGTCCCATCCGGGCCAAAACCCTAAAAGGACTGATGAACCTGGGGCCCAACTTGCCCCTCTTCCGAAACCTGATAACACCCTTCCAGGGTGATACCTTCAGGAGAACCATATCACCCACCTAGAATTCCAATTCTGAACGCCTCCTATCGGCGTAACTCTCCTGTCAACTCTGCGCAGTCTGTAGTCTGCTACGAACCTGCTGGATCAATTCTGTTATCTTGAGCACCACTTCGGTGCTCCCAATGACTCACTGACCGACCTCGCCCCAACAAATCGGGGTCCTACACTTCCTCCCATAGAGCATCTCGAAAGGAGGTCGATCAATACTCGCATGGTAACTGTTGTTATACGAAAATTCCGCTAACGAAAGATACATATCCCAACTGCCCTCGAAGTCTAGAACACATGCCCGCAACATGTCCTCGAGAGTCTGAATCGTTCTCTCGCTTTGGCCGTCCGTCTGAGGATGGAAAGCGGTGCTAAAATGGAGACGAGTACCCATCTCGTCGTGAAACCGCTTCCAAAATCTGGAAGTAAAACGGACATCTCGGTCTGACACCACTGAAACAGGCACTCCATGTCGTGCCACCACCTCTCGCACATATATATCGGCTAGCTTCTCAGCCGATATGCTCTCCTGGATCGGTATAAAATGAGAACTCTTCGTCAACCGATCCACTATAACCCAAATCGAATCCACTCCACGTGTGGTCCTGGGAAGCTTAGTGATAAAATCCATAGTGATATCCTCCCATTTCCACACTAGTATGTCCAACGGCTGTATCTTGTCGTGAGGCCTCTGCTGCTCCGCCTTAACCTTCCTGCAGGTCAGGCATCTTTCCACATACCAGGCGGCATCCCGCTTCATGCAGGGCCACCAATAGTCGGGTCGAAGATCCCTATACATCTTCGTTGCCCCTGGATGGATGGAAAATCGAGACTTATGGGCCTCGTCCATCAACACCTGCCGCACTCCGCCCTAGTACGGTACCCATACTCTCCCATGAAGGGTCAACAATCCTCGGCTATCGTAGTCAAAAGAAGCTACTCGGCCCACAATCCTCTCACACTTATGCTTCTCCTCCTTGAGGCCCTCAGCCTGCGCCTCTTTGATTTGCTCCAATAATGGAGTAATCACCATCATCCTCAAACAAATGCCTTTGATCGGGGTCGCTACTGCCTTGCGGATCAGGGCGTCGGCCACCACGTTGGCCTTCCCTGGGTGATAAAGGATCTCACAATCATAATCCTTCAACACATCTAACCATCGCCTATGCCTCATGTTCAGATTCGGCTGGTCCATGAGGTACCTCAAGCTCTTGTGATCCATGTAAATGGTACACCGAACCCCATAGAGGTAATGTCTCCGAATCTTGAGGGCAAAAACCACTGCCCCCAACTCCAAATCATGCATATGATAGTTAGCCTCGTGAGGCTTCAACTGTCTCGAGGCGTAACCTATCACACGGCATTGCTGCATCAACACTGATCCCATACATGTGATCGAGGCATCACAGTATACTACGAAATCCTCTACTCCTTCTGGAAAGGTAAGAATCGATGTCTCGCACAAT